CCCCCCAGCCACACCTGCAGGCCTTGGGCAAGCAGGAGCCAGACCGTCCCTCGCTGACAAACACGAGACAGCAGAACCACAGTTTGGCTCCTTTCCCTCTCCTAACTCATGGAGTCTTTCAAAAATTCTGATGTTTTAACAGCAGTTCATGAAGAGTTGTTTTTGTTTGCTTCCCTGCTCTTTGTACCTTTAAGATTCGTGTTGCAATCCAAAGGACTAGAAGCATATCGAAAAACAAAAACATCCAGGATCGACAGTTTTACGAAGATGTCAAAAATCACGAGGCTTGTGACAAAGTGGCAAGAACTAGCAGTGCTGTGCCCTCAGTTAGGAGCAGCGAGGTGGGGGTGGAGACAGGAGACAACAGAAAACAAGCTTCAAGGAAACTTGTAATTTCCTTTTCCTATCACAGGCTCTCTCTCATCTGTCACACATACCCACCTCCCACAGGGAACGGCCACAATCATGGTTTCTGTCCAAAGGACAGGCAGTATCTCAGTGTACAGAAGCAGTGACCAGCGAAGCAAAGAGCAGACGAGTCCCCGCGGGAGCTGCGTGACCTGTCCCAGGGGCAGCCCGTGCTGTTCCTCAGCGCTGGGACACAGCCCTGAGCTTCTCGGAGATGTTTCGAGTGCAACCAGGAAAATGCCAGTTTCCTCTGACCTATTACTATATTAAACTTCCCCTAGAAAACGACACAGCCAACTGATGGAGCAAGAGTAGACACTCTAATGTTAATTACTAAAACTGCAGGAGGTTAATTAGTTTTACTGAATAATTACTCAAATCGCTGCAAATGAACTAAACCCCAAACCCAAAGCTGTGTGCTTGTTTACCTGCCTGGAGAGTCTCAGTATCTTGTGACACTGAAACTGATCTCATTTGAGGCACAGACCTAACTGCAGATGGAATTATTTCTCCAGTGCTGTATGGCACAGCCCCAGCCCCTGGATGAGGTCTGACTCCCTTCAGTCTGCAGGTTACAGACAGCAGCCAACCACACTGCAAATCCAACCGACGGGGGGAAGAGAGCAGTGGTAAGCGAAGTGACAACGCTGGCACACGAAAAGAGGGGAAAAACTGACCAGGAATATATTTAGACTATAAATTCGAATACCTTGGTGATTCATGCTATTGCAATTTATTAAAGGATTACTGCCCCCAGCTGCCAAATCACATGGTAAAGTCAACTGCTCTCCATCTCACTTTAAATTAAAATGCTGGGCAGGCACAGTGACATCCAAGAAGTTCACTTGCATGACCTGGGAGAGGTCGATAGCTGGGCTCTGGTAAATAGTCTGTTTGAATTTCCAGAGCTTATCTGGAGACATCCTTACAAGGTTGCTAATCACTACAGCCACGAGGTTCTGGAAAAAAAGGAAGCCTAACAATCTTTAAGACAAAACTCAAGACGTTTATGAAAAGAAATATAGGAACCTAGTGCTTGTGATATTGCCCTGGTGACTCCTTGGTCCTGTTCAGATAGATGGAGGAAATCCCAAAAGTGAATGATTCAGGTGTATGGTGTGTTTCTTCTACGCGTACTGTAACATACTGCTTCTGTACCAAACAGCATAGTAATATGACATGGCAAGAAGTTGCCTACAAATGGCCACTTAAGAAAATCTTATCCAACTTATGTTAAACCAACATAAAGAGGATTAATAAAACATCATCAACTCACAATGCAGATGACCTTTTTAGAATTCCATTTGACTCCACGATTTCAGTTCAACTAAAATTTTTCTAGGTGAACACGCATTTTAGGGAATAATTTCAAGGATGGGAATAAAATTATTTAATTCATCTTTCTTAGAAGGTCATTTCCACAAAGCCAGGGTGTTTTTGGCTTGGTCCTTACGACATTGCTGTACATAGATTTCATACACACATAAACTTGCCACAATCATCAATTCATTTTCCTTCACCATAAAGCAGTGCCCTTCTTTATGTTACCAAACTTCTAATTGTCTCTAAATACATCCAGGGTATGTGTATGTAAGAAAAAGTTACAGAATTGGCAATATAATCCTATCCAAGTCTCTGTCCTGGAGACTAACTTAATAATTGACAAAGGTCAGCAGTAAGATCAAGTACTATCAACCTGCAGCTATTCAAAGTCACCTATGGCTTTATATAGAACTACCTTACTTTATACTACTTACACAGTTATATTTACTATTTAGTATGAAAATTTACAATATAGGCAAACTTCAGATAATAAAGTTTGAAAGAATCTCACATAGACCAAAAACCCTATAAGTTATCAGCATCTTTGCCAACAGGCATTGGCATAAAGATATGGCCCAGGATACGAGTGGCCTGGGGAGTCACAGGTACCTCTTCCACTCTTGATCATACCACATGCTAAAGGAATTTAGCAGAAAGCACATGATCTCACATACAGACATTTTCCCCAGCCCTCCTCGTGTTAGGGAAGAGCCCTGCTGTAGGCTGAAACTCAAGTCTTCATACAAACGTAGCTTGTGTGCTGAATGTCTGCGGTACATTCGTCTTGGAGAAAAACAAAAGCAGCCAGGAAAAAGCAAGTTTTAGGTCTTAATGCTTTTATTGAAGAGGATTGAGATGAAATGTGGGTTTTTTTCTTGAAAACAGTTACTCAGGAATTTAATGTTCCTTTGTGTCAAAATAGAGGAAGCACAGCACCATGGTTAAAGCAAGTACACAATAATACAGTTTATTCACCTGCAACAACTTTACCTTAAAGATGCTTTTACACAAGAAATGTCCCTTAGCAGCAAAGCCTCTAAGGTGCCCCCTGCTCATTCCCACCTCTGAACTGGAATTTGTTGCCCCCTCAATTGTGCTGACACAGCTATATGTCATGAACAGGCTATAAAACAGATCACTGAGATTATCTCGGTCAAAATGAAAACAACACCGCTTCTCTCTGGAGAGATATTTTTAACTTGCAACCCCAGAAGCAGTTGTATCAGCAAAGTGGCGAGACCAGACACTGCAATGTGAGGAGAGTAGCAAGCAGTTTGGGAATGAGGAGAGAAAGAGATAAGCAGGAACTTCTCAAACAAGCTTCACTGCCAAAAAACATCTCATGCAACCAGACACCCATCTCCTCCTGGCTCACACTTAGTGGAATTCTTCACATGAGAGTGAAATACCCAAAAGCCACATTCAGCACTTTCTGTGTATTGCTTTAAGCAAACAGAAGGTGGAGAGAGTCTGCATACAATCAAAATACTGCACAGAGTGAAATCAAGCGCTGTTTTCTAATGCCTTTTTTTTTTAAAGCCCAATGTATTTTCATGTAAAAAGTAACAAATTCTAAAAATATTCTCTTCAGAAATACAAAACCTCTGTTCTCAAGTCTGAGGAACGGCACTGCAATTTAAATTTCCAACATTGACATTTACATCTAATGAAATTTTGGGTTTTTTAAAGATCAAAACCACATTTCACTCATCTTCCATAGGTAGGTGGCTGATGGGAAAAACCTAGAAGGCTCTTACAAGGTATCACCTTTCCTGTCCCCGAGTACATCAGCAGGCTCTGCAGCCTCTGCTCCTGATCTTCCTAGGGGTTTGGTGGCAGGGACCCAGCACCAGCTCTGATACGGTGCAGCCATAACCCGGGATCAGGATGCTGAAGATCTATGGGAGACAGGTCTGGGAAACGCTCAGAAGCAGCGTTCGCACTTAGTCCTTTGCTCTGGTTCATGTCAGAGCCATGCTATGAGTACACCTGTGCCCAGCCTCACGCCTCACTGCTCCCACTCTGCTGCCGGGCTCAGCCTTGGCCTGGTCACATCAGTATGGACCCAGCAGGGGATCGGGGCTCTGGGCTGCCCCTGGCTCCCTGCGGCCACCCGCTCGGCTCACCCGGCCTGGGCGCAGCGGGACGGCACCCTGCAAGGGAGGCACGGCCACCCGCTGATCCCGGCTCGCTCTCCATCAGCGAGCAGTCCATCTCTGTTACTCCCTGATGGCACCATGTGCTGGGCTGCCCAACAGACGCTGATGAAAGGTGACTTCCCGTCAGACTGAGATTTTATAAAAATTCCGTGTTTTGCAGATTATCCGACAGAATCCATAGGGCAGCTAATATGCTACCACACTGCACACGACGAAGCACAGCCTTTCACTGAGTACAGCAGTTTCCAGAACCACCTGTGTATGTTCTAAAGAACAGGGCAGTGGCTACCAGCCTTGCAAGAATACACTGTGAGTGACAGAAATAGCTGTTGCGTTCGCAGCACCTTTGTTTAAGGATCCTCTCTGCTGTACGTGATGCTGTCAAGAGACCTGTGGTTAACCCCTTTGCTTTGCACCATCTATTTTTTATTTTCTATTTTCCAGAAAAGCTTCTGCCACAGATGGGTGAAAATGATCTTGATTCAATATCTCCAGAAGATTCTGCCCTCCCACGTCAGAACAAAGCTTAGAACTTCATCCAGGGTAGCAAACACTGTATTTCCAGCTGTGATGTAATGAAAGATTGATGGTCTTCTGGCACCAAGGAGACGGATCAATCAACCCATGTCTCCTCTGACATGAGCTGATCAATTCTTCTTCAGATCACTTCTTCAGAAGGTGAGCGATTTCCATCAGGCTTGCATGCTAATGAGGTAAGGACAACTCCTTTGCTGCGGCTGTGCTCTGAGTTGGCTCAGGATGGTGATGGGCAAATGACACCAGATGAATATGCTTCCCTCTGACAATGGATTTGAGAGATGCTGAGATCTCTCTGTATCGAAGCCCATATAGAAAAGGGAACAAAACTTTAGGGAGAATCAGCAGGAAATTGCAGACTGCCAGGGAGATCCAGATTCCTGTCTGCTGTCTGATGGCAACTTTAATGCACAAGAATGATTCTACAAAAAGGGCCAAGAGCGGAAAGAAGTGAAAAAGTAACACAGTGTTGTGCATTAAGAATGTTACACTAGCTCTGGAGCAGATGCTCTTCCATATACCCGATTGTTTGGTTTTAAAATACAGAATAGCATAGCAACAAAATATTAGAGACAGGAAGAGAAAGATAACCGTGGTAGAAAGCCAGAAACAGAGTTTCACAGAATTAGTCCCATTCAGAGTCAACATCAGTATTACTGGCACCGAGCACATTTCCAGGACACAGGGTGCAAAGCTGTGGATGCTCAACAGCACCAAGAAGAAAATCCCAGGGAAAGCCCCAGCACACATCCACAGTAATAGGATAATTTTTCTGGTTCGTGAAGGAGGCAAAATAGCAACGTAGCGCAAAGGAAACAAAATAGCTACATATGCGTCCAAGACTATGGCAGCAGCCGTGAACAATCCTCCACAGTACACCACTAACAGCAAAAACAACAGGAGGACACAAGCTTCCTTTGGGAGATGTACATGTGCTGCATTGAGAGCACTTAACAGGGCATAGAACAAAAGGTAGATCAGATCAGAAAGTAGAGCATTTCCCAGCAGCATGTACCTTGTTTCCTGACGGATGCTAAAGCTAGAGAAGATCACAAACAAGATGGTAGGAATGATGAGGACACCTGCCACGATGCAGACAATTGGAGGAATTAAAAACATCTTCATATTTGTGACTGATAGGTCGAGAGCCCATTCCTCCAGCAAATAGTACAATGAAGTGTCATTCAAACGCGAGGAACAGTTGAACTCTGCCGCCCTGTGCCTGTAAGCAGTTGCATTCACTCTATGTACTAAAGCACAGCCAGAGGAGTCCATTTCCTTAGGGTTTTGGGATGAGTGTCTGACTTGGAGAAAGCAAGATCTTCCACTGAGTCCTTAGAAAGGCCAATGAAGCAGAGGATGCAAAAAGCCTGTGGAAGAAAAGCGATTTCCGTAGCCAGTTCCACCAGCTCTTCTCAAGGACAGAAAGTTGAAACTTCTAAGTGAATTCTGTGGTGCTAAAGATGCCTGAAGGTGCCTAAAGCAGAGCTTTTCTTTTCCTTCTGCAAAATCTAATGTTTAGAATAGAGAATGAATCTTTAAAAAAAGTCTAAATCCCTCAGCTAGCTCTTTGATCAGGAATGAGCAGGTTGATAATTTTCAGCGATTTGAGTTTGTCCTCCTCACATTATCAGTGCAACAAGGCAGATGAAACATTAGCTTGATTAAACAAAGACACAATGATATAGAACGACATTCCACGTGTACTGATGCAGGAGAGTCATAAACGTGATTGGGTGATGTTTTGTATCAGTTTGTACGCAACAGCACAATCGATTTGAAGTGATCCATAAAATTGACTCTCGATCTTGTTGTAAAATTGTATTGCAATGGCTCTAGTGAATGAAATGATCTTATTTACAGACAACAAACATTTTTGATTAGTGAATCAGATTGTGCTATTTATAGATGACAAGCCTTCCCCTGCCTTTTTTAATGCATGATATACAAATACTGAATTCTCATCTATTGCAGACTCACAGTCAATCGGTGAATTGTCTGGGATGAGTGACACATGCTATAATGTACCAGCGCACCCTACAGCAGACTTGGTATTTCCATGTCCATTTGGAGGCTAATTCTTGGCTTGCTGGCCAGCTGTCCAGGTATAACCCCAGACAGTGGCTAAGCCCCACACAGCTGCTTGCTCACTCTGCCCTACTGGGACGGGAGAGAATCAGAAGAGTAAAAGTGAGAAAACTCATAGGTTGAGATAAAGACAGTTTAACAGATAAAGCAAAAGCCGTGTGTGCAAAGCAAAGTGAAACAAGGAATTCATTCACCACTTCCCATTGGCAGGCAGGTGTTCAGCCATCTTCAGGAAATTAGGGTGCCATCACATGTAACAGTTACTTGGGCAGACAAACACCCTCACTCGAAACGTCCTCCCCTTCCTTTTCCCCCCAACTTTATATGCTGAGCATGACGTCATATGGTCTGGAATATCCCTTTGGTCAGTTGGTGTCAGCTGTCCCAGCTGTGTCCCCCCCCAGCTTCTTGTGCACTCCCAGCCTACTCACTGGTGGGTGGTCTGAGAAGCAGAAAAGGCCTTGACTCTGCGTGAGCACTGCTCAGCAACAGCTAAACCATCGCTGTGTTATCAACACTGTTTCCAGCACAAGTCCCAAACATCGCCCCATGCCAGCTGCTATGAAGAAAATTAACTCTATCCCAGCCAAAGCCAGTATTGCAGCTGCTGCACTGCACTGCTTTTACTATCAGATCTCATTGTCAGAGCTGGGGGTGCAATAAGACAATTGTGAAGGTTCTGGATCGTGGAGAAGGAACTCTTCAAGTTCTTCCAGGCATGGTCTGATCAGAAGAAATGCTATTTTTTTTTTTCATTAGGCTGAGCACTGGCTAATAATGCTTTAGTTTTACTCAAAAAGACTGTATTGATGCAGTTGTTCATCATCTTGCGTGATGCAAAGTGGGCATAGCAACACTATTTTATTTCATGGTCTATGTCTCCTGCAGTTGCTTACCCCTATGTATGCTGCACAAAGCAGCACATCACTGCTACATCACATTACTGTGCTATTTACATAGGGCATAAGTAGCAAAGACAAAAGCTCTGCAGAATATGCAGCTTTGTCAACTCCCAGCTTTAGCTGGCCTTCTCACTAAGGCATATCTTGGAGATTTTAAGTAATTGTAAACATCAAAGGATTACTTCCAGTATTTGAAAAATAGCGTACGCACAAGCCAAAGGTCTAATAAAAAGTAGTGAATGAAATCTGCTGGCTGCTCAGCTCTTTTGAAGTTATATTATTTATTTAGGCACCTAAAAACGTCTAAGCTCAGATAACCTTTTTGGCAGTCCTGGCAAGCCTACCAGGACCTCCCACATTCACCAGCATGGTCAAATCTTTAACTATTGTTTCAAGAATGATCTCCCTTCCCAAGTAATATGGATTCTATTACTGATGGAATAAGAGCAGGGGGAACGTGGCTCCTTACTTAGCATGGCATGACCGTATTCATTATTTCCCCAGCACTACCAGCATATAGCAATGCAGCATGCTTCTGTCCGTGGGAGACAGTGCACAGTCTCACCTCACAGAAAGCCGTGCTGTGCCATGGACATGCTGTCTCGGGGCATGCCAAGTAACAAAGCAGACAGCTTATGAGACTCAGCATCAGTCATCAAATCTTGTGCACATTTCATTTCCATACACACTGATAGTTGGCATCCATGGAGCTGCATGTTAAGACAGTTTGACAGGCTGCACCATATGGAACAAAGGGATAGGAGGAAAAATCAATGATAATTTTAAGCACAGCATTTCAGTTGCTATGATGCCTGGGTAGGCAAAACAGAAGGTGATTATTTTTGCTCACTCAATCCTGCATCCACTGTAAAGTGTGTAAACAACATTGATGCAATTATACATTTGGCTTCAGGATCATGCCCTGCATCTATCAATGAGTCACAACACAGCTAATATCTTAAGCAGACAGTAGCACTCAACCACCCAAACTGCTGAATTACACTATTATTGCAAAATGGAAGGGAAGCATTGAAAGCTCAAGTGTGTGCATATCACCTCCAACTATAATTTCAGACCTCTGTTAATGGTGGAAGTGTTTGCTGCTTCCCAGCTCCTAGCATTCCAAAGACATTCTATTAATGGGCAGATTCTCTCATTTCCATACAATATCACAACTGTATTTTCCACCAGCTGGTTAGGATTAAATGTGAACAAACAGAAGGTTTGTCATCTTAGCTGCGCACTTTTAGTTGACAGAAGAATAAATGCCAATACAATATACAATGATCTGCTGGCATTTACAGGAGTGTCCAATGCAGCCAAGTATTTCACAGTGATGTCATACAGCACTGTAGTTCTGCAAATATATATCTCAATTGTATTATTGAGATATATATCAATATTATTGAGATAATAATATTGAGATATATATCAATATTATTGATATATATATCTCAATTATATAGTTGTTCAATTAACAAATGGTTCTTATTTTTTCAGTCTAATTATTTTTCTCCTGATGCCTGAAAACAACATCTTTATAGCAGAGCTATTCCTTCCTCTTGGCTAAAAGCTAGCTTCTACCATGAGCTAGAAGTCCCAGCTACATCTGGGAGGGTAACAAACACTGACATCCTCACTAGTAAAAAGTACAAAGCGAAAGTGGTAACTCTAGCAACCTTCAACTGACCACCTTTTAAAAATCCACTTCTATGGCCATGAAAGCGTAAATGTGAATAATGTGAAGTAAATAATGTGAAAGGTAAGGAAAGATATGAACTTGTTAATTATTCCACAGTAGCTGACTGCAGGTTCACTCTCAGCTGAGATCCTCATGACAAACACAAAGTAGCTCCTGACTGTCTCATTTAGCCCGCATGCAGAGTCCCACAGAGCCCAGGAGACATCACAAGTCCACAGCTTTGCTTATCTTGTGCTTAACTGTTCACCTGCTGCAGCCTATGGATGGCAGAGTAAGCTCTATGGCATGAACTTGTTCAGCTTTAACTGTGCTACTGGAAAAGTCTTAGGAATGCAGGCAGGCTTTAGTTTTACAAAAATGGAAAACAGCAAATAACTGGAAGTCAGATTCAACCCCATCAGACCTGGGCAAGTCCAGCCAAAGCCACTCTCCTCAGATTTCCACAGGGGTTTACAACTCTTCAATATCGTTCTGCTAGATTAAAAAATTTATAAGGTTGGTGTCTTCACACACTGTTACACACCCAGAATAGGTGGCTCCGGAGGATATCTGGTTGTTGTCTCCTTTCATTGTCTGGAGCGTAGGAGGCATTTCCACATCTAGACCATTTGCAAGGGGCTGGCAGCTCTGAAGACCACTTCTGAGGATACTGAACTTAGACAGCTCTTTGCCCTTGCATCTCTGTGTTCAATATTTTGTGGTGCCAATCTGAATGATTCTCCTGCAATTTCCTGTAAACCTGGCCTTAATGCTCTAGTTATTGATTTTTTTTTTTTTAATGGTCTCTGGTAAATTTAGGTTAAGTGGATGCACTTTTTACATATCTTGCTGATTCAGACCTACAGTATTAGCAGCCTCTCTTCTAGATCTTATTCTGGCTCAACAGAGTCTGTATTGATTTTCAAACTGAATCACACACTGTTAATTATTTTACTCCTCTCCGCTTCAACCAACATCCTACTGAAAGCTTAGTTATCTTAGTGTTGAGTTTGGGACATCTCAGAAAGCATGCATTCAGCCATACTGAACATTGTAAATCCAGCAAAACCCAGACTCCATTATATTCTGTTACTGACTATAAAAGGGTATTGTCAAACTGAACAGAAAAGGTCAGAAAGATTACCGTCTTACAGCAATCGGTATGGACTTAACTGTGTACACACATAGGGAAACTTCCTATATCACAAAGAGTCTAGCCTCACTGATTTAATGAGTCAACAAGCACACTGCTGCCATGGCAGGGAAACACCATACAGAAAAGGGAAGACAACCAGAAAAATGCCAAGATTTCCCCAGCCCTTCATCCCAAGAAACTGTGTTATAGGAGGAGATACCCAGAGGGAGCGTGTGACTAAATTGCATGGTCATATTCAGCTCTGAGGTTCCCTGGGTGCCATCACATCACTGTCTCAGCATGAGCATGGAGTATTTGATGTGGCTGCCTGTTCCAGCATCACTCACCAGGACCTAGCCTAGACAATGATATTGTGCTCTGAGTCTGCCCCACAGACTGATCTGCCTGGCCAGGAGCCCAGGGAGAAAAGTGTAGAAAGGCCACCTCAGAGTCCACCACAGCTCCTTGA